CACCCCGATGTATCCGTCTCGCACACCACACACCCCACACACGCATCACACGCACTTCCCACACACACCACGCATATTCCTCACCCCGATGTATCCGTCTCGCACACCACACACCCCACACACGCACCACACGCACATCCCACACACACCACGCATATTCCCCACCCCAATGTATCTGTCTCCCACACCACACACCCCACACACGCACCACACGCACATCCCACGCACACTACGCATATTCCTCACCCCGATGTAGCCGCACTGCAGGATTTGAGCAGAGGGCGGCACGGCAACGAAGGACCCAGCCCTCATGTTGCTGCTGTTGCGCGCCTGTAGCAAGAAGCCCCGGAACATGTCGCCCTCCACCTCCGCTGTCACCGTAACTGGCGCGCCGAAAAATTAACATTATTATTCATATTTCAATGTAACTACATGGAATTCTGTGATTATACAATAAAAAAGTATAAGTTTGTAAAACTAACTTGAAAACTCAACACACTTGCGTTATTTTAAAAGTTTAACATGTTACTGTCGTCACAGCTTGCCGTAAATTCCTCATAACCGTGACTTGAATACCAAATTTTGTTTTTATCTTTTGAGACGTTATTGTGAATTAACAATAAAATTGTAAAAACATGATTTAATTTTGCGGAATCGATTTAAATTTTTGTAAATATTGCGCAGCACAGTGACTGAAAGACTGAAAATAATGCCAATACAAGGACACAAAGAATGGCAGCAGCTGGTCAGAACAACTGATCTAAAATTTAAAAACTCTCATGTACATTTGGATTTTTATTATTGTTTTTACTCTGAATTCCACACAATTTTTTGAATCTATAATGACGGTGGTCTATGAATCGTTTTCATTAAAGATATGGTGAATTTACTTAGCGTTTTCTTCGCTTTTAAATTCCTAGAAAACGTAAAAATTTACCCACCATCAACGGAGCCGTCCGGGTTCTGCGTAGCGGACACCGAGTAGGGAGGTACGCTCCACTGAGGAGCGAACGTCAGGTGTATGGGATACATGGAGTTGCACGACGCAAACACCATGCCGTTACTGAAGCAATGTGCTGACGTCAGCATGCACAGCAACGACACCGTCACCAGATGCCGAGACCTCTGATCATCCACGGGCCTCTATCAAGATCAAATAAATAAATTTTGCACTTAATATTAAGCCCTTCTGATTAATTAAGTCCCTTTATTCTCTTTCACATCTTACGCAAGCGAATTTTCTTTTTTTTTATTGCTAGGTGTTTCTTTTAATGTTGCTTTTGTTATATTATCTGGATTTACGCCAGTAGATAGACATCCCCTCGTCGTCCGCGAGTTTTGAGCGGTAGCTGATTATAATAATATAATGATAATAAGAATAACTAATACTCTTCTGTTAATGAGATATAATTTGGATTTAATTCCAGAATGAACTCTATAATGAGGAAATACAGGGAAAATCATTACTCACCATGTATAGAGAGAAGTTTGAAGACTGTAGGAAGTACACCAGAAAGAAGAAAAACTCACCCTAGTTAAATTATTTCACTCAAAATTGTGTGGGTCCTATAAGTTTCGTAATTAATTAATGCTGTTTACGCTCATGGATCAATTCTGCCACACTCCGTCTACATTACCGTACCTGCAAGGAAAAAAAACATGTTCATGGTAATAAATAGTACGCCTAATGTGTTTACATGTACGCCTCAGAATAAATAGTTTACGGTTACTATTTGAAAATCATGGAATTTAAAATAGACAGGTTTACAAGTGACCATGCAAATGAATATAATTACATTAAAGAACTGTGGGAAATTTGTACTAAAGAAGCAAACTTTCATTTAAGATTTGTACTGAATACTGTGCCCTTTATTACAGTTATATTTTCTGCAACGGCATATGCTAAAATGGTTGAAGTAGATCAACGAAAATAAGATGATTTGCCTCGTGAAAATTTCAAGTCCTATTGTCCATCATCAGCAGTGGAAATGCGAAAGAAAAAATTACGTTTCTAAAATTTTTCGAAGGTGCGTTTTCCGCTGTAAAAGTCAACCTTTTTAGGAACAAACATTTATCCCGACAGTAGATAAAGAAATCGATATAAACAACGCATTACAATTTTTGATCATCGATTAAAAACTCCGACTGAACATTAACCCTCGGAAGCAAACGAAGGATACTTGGAAAGTGGAAATCAAAGCATCAAAGCTGAAAATTGGCCAATCGTCCACGCCGAGGAAGCAGCGGTCAACGGACCACAGACAACGATCATAAAAATCTTTATCAAGGTATGAGAGAGATACGAATCTGAAATAAAACGTCTGCCTAGTGTATTTTCTCCTCCCAATCTATTTATTTAATTCTCGCATGCGCAAGACTGATCGACGTAGAGGAGCGATACAATTAATCTATGGTGATTATTTATTCAATACTGAATTCTGAACAGGATGTAGTAAGTCAGAAACACGTGAGTTTAACACAGTCTTATACTGTCACATGCTTCGGAGTTCAGCAGCAGCAGCCACTTCTCCGCAGCGCACCGTTAGCCAAGAGCCACTGAAGGTAGAATGTGAGCACCCACGTCGTACCAAGGGAAACTCGTCGTGTACGGGAGCCGAGCCTCAGCGTTAGTCACGAATCCTCGTCACGTGATTGAAGTGAAAGCTTTTGTCCACAGCCATGCGCAGTAATACGCACTGTCCCTTATTCGTTCACCAGTCAATAAAAACTATTAACAATTAAGAGATAACTGTTGTGTCTGAATGTTTCATTGTGTTCAATTACTTACTTAAAATCATTATTTTGATTGTTTTAACATTTTTACTTAATGGACATCGTGCGGCCAGGTAGTTACGCATTTAGGGAGTTTTGTGCAGTGGTTCAGGTGAAGGGAAATATAACGTTGCGTTCATCATATAACACCGAGCATGGCTACAATTACCGTAGTGTAACCCGTTAATAATTGACGTAGACGACACGCGGGTGCGGTTATGTATGAAGGTTCGGTTGTGTAAGGCACGCTATACATAGTAATAATATCTTCTCTTCTACGTTGGTTTTCGTCATGTGATCAACTATCAGTACTTGCTTCGACTAATAAGTACAACATATTAAGGCAAAGCGTACCCTCAGTGGAGAATGGGTGAAGAATGTGAACTCCTGGGAGACTATTGATACTCTTGCCTGGAATAAACTTATGATATACTGTAATATTGTTGGAGATTCTATTGTCAAAATACAGTCTTTCGAACATTGTGCATTGTGGCACAGGCAGCAACGTAAAATATATAATTTAGAGAAATAACGAAAGAAGTAAGAAATGTCAGTGAAAGCTTAACATATACGGTAGTCGGAAAATTTCATTTGGTGCACTAAAAATGCTTCTAAATTTGAATGTGCTTACTCAAGTAACGGGACAGTAATCGAACCCTGAATAATTGACGTTGCAGCAGTCAAGCGCTGAGTAAATTGACGGAACAGCGAGCAGGCGTCAAATCAATTCGATGTGATCAAACGCTTATTCAATCGACGGATAGTGATCAAGCGCTTTTTCAATGGACGGAGAGTGATTAATTAAGCGCGCTTATTCAATCGACAGACAGTTATCAAGTGCTCATTCAATCGACGGACAGTGAGCAAGCGCTTATTCAATCGACTGACAGTGATCAGCCCCTATTTAATTTACGCAACAGTATTCACGCTGTCGTAGGTTCGATGAATATCGTATGAATGAAAGTTCTACAAATTATCTGATCATTTTAATCGGAGGTGTGTGCATGGGTAATGTCAAGCATAACATAATAATTTAAGATGTTCGAAATACTATTAACAAAGCATACCAAGCCAAGGGTGCAAATGTACGACAGGAATAATTTGCATCCACATGACGTTGGAGAGAATAGGATGCGAAATTGCGATTAATGTTGTAGAATGAGAGCAGTAACTACATGAATGTTGTAGAATGATCACAGTAGCTACATCATTTGCGAGCCTATGAAGGAAAGTACATAGAAAGAGGCTGATATTATTAAATACTAGAATTACTTAAATCGAAAATTAACGAATAATTTAGCCTTATGGAAAACGTTTAGCAAATTCGTTAGAATTTCGTTGAAAAACATTCAACGACCTTGCCAGTTCAAAAATTAACAGTATTACCCATACACCATTTCTACTTTTATTTACGTTATCTCGCCTGTTATCACTAAACTTCTCTCCACCGCTTTAATTATTCGTGCAATTTGATCATACACGTTGCTTTTTCATTTAACTTTTGAACTGGCTCTTAAGATGCTATTCGAAACTTTTTCATTAACAATGCGGTAAAATTATTTTGTGAGACATTCGTCATTCCTCACCGTCAATTTCTTTATAGCCTAGGGTTTATTTATAAGATATAATATTAGCTTCTACCTGTTATTGAATTCTCTTCTTTAACTTCATCCGAAGAATTAGTATTTAGTCTAAATCAGGGGTTCTGCCGCGGGTCTTAAGTCAGTTGTGATCACCATCAGTTATCAGATGTATCGAATTATATTTACCGCTTGTGACAGCATATATTTGTAACGCCTTGACGCAGTGTTTAAATTTCGGTGTAATTCATTATTTGAAACCAAAATTGTCGTGAATATTGCCGTTTCTGTACCGTTTGACAACTTACCCGCCTCAAAGTCTAAGTATTTCTATCGTTTGCCATAAATCTGTTTCTCTATTTTTTGGTTAGCATGAATGTCGTGTGAATTTCAATTTATATTTTTTTTTGCTCTATTAAATTCAATTATTTAATCTGTTGGGAAGTTGGACTTATTGCTTCATCTTAATCGAATCACTCGATTCAGTTTTTAAGCGTTATTCGTTCTGGAAGTGCGTTATTTTTCTACATTAGCTACAAAGATCACTAATTGAACTTTAGCATTAAGTCATTATTTAAATTTACAAAGTATTAAACCTTCAACTGTTCTTATTATAACTGTTCCAACCCTCAAACTGATTTTCACTATTTTCCTTCAATTTTTCTTTCTTCGTAAAGTGATTACCACACTGGGCATTTAAACCTCAGGTTCGCAGTGTTTTCCGTGTACAAGCGATATTTTGATAATTTATTACAACCGTAATAAGTTTACCCTTGCATATTGAAAGATTAATAATTTAAATTTATTTCTTCTGCAGTTTACATTTAATCCGATTTAGACACTGGCCGGCCCAACTTTATTTATACGTCACGCATTCGTCACGCGTTCTTTCAAAGCTCCACCTTCGACTTCTTGTTTATTGTATCCTGAAGATTAAATTTTGGGTTCGTCTTTTAACGACTAAACTTTATCTGCATTACAATGAAGCAAAACCACTCCAAAACAAACTCATAAAATTTCTGGAATAAATTAAAATAAAATCGCCCTCGTCTCTTTAATTTGACAGCTTGCATGTCGATTGTGTGAAAACCTCAAAGTTATACCATATTTTCCCTTTTTACTTCTTGAAGCTGATTATTCGCTGGTTACGTGCTTTGGAACGTTGATCATTTCTTATGTATTTTTAGGGCGGTAGAAGCTGAAAGTTTCAAATTTCAATGAATTTTACTTCGACATATTCGTACCTCTCATCACTATATCTTCACTTCATGTTACATCAGGTTCCTGTTATGGCGATAAGGTTGGGAAACGACCCTGATCTGCTTTAGAGCGGATCCATTTGACTCTGTCACTGCACTTCCACGGTCTTGATCGTACCGTGTTTGGGTCTGACATGAAATAACAGCCTTGAACTGCTATTAGAACTGAAACTTTATTTAAAGCGGATATAAGAAGCACACTATAGCTCTAACGGTCTGGTGCCCTTCGCTCTATTTACCCTATCAATAGTAAGTAGGACATAAACGACAGAATAATCTTGACTAGCGGGTAACAACAAAGAATTGTCTTAGATTAGAAACTAAGCATTCACAAACACGTTTAACAATGTACGCATTTTCACATAGACTTGTACAGAAGTGCCAGAATACAAGACAGTTATATACGTTGATCAATTTAATATAGTTCACTAGGCTACAGTGACCGCATAGCAGTGGCTGCAGGTCACAGTGACCGTATAGCAGTGGCTGCAGGAGGTCACAGTGACTGTATAGCAGTGGCTGCAGCAGGTCACAAAGACCGTATAGCAGTGGCTGCAGGAGGTCACAAAGACCGCATAGTAGTGGCTGCAGGAGGTCACAGTGACCATATAGCAGTGGCTGCAGGAGGTCACAGTGACTGTATAGCAGTGGCAGCAGGAGGTCACAGCAACCGTACGGCAGTGGCTGCAGGTCGCAGTGACTGTATAGCAGTGGCTGCAGGAGGTCACAGTGACTGTATAGCAGTGGCTGCAGGAGGTCACAAAGACCGCATAGCAGTGGCTGCAGGAGGTCACAAAGACCGCATAGCAGTGGCTGCAGGAGGTCACAGTGACTGTANATCTAAATATGACTTGGATTTTGAAATTCACTTGCCGGTACTTAGATTTTGAAATTATATTCCTGTCTTGATAGGGTAATAGTTTTATTTTCTGAATTTTATATTACTTATTGTCATTCTCGAAATCTGTTTACTAATATTAAGTTGTCGAAGGTAATGCGAGGTGATTTCTGGTATATTTTTATT